TTTTATAGTACTGGACGTACTTTTGATCACCTGGTTGGTGATAATAGAGGGCCTGGCTCTTTTGGGTATATGGGCCTTCGCCAGCCCATTATTTTGGGCTTGCCCTTTTATTTTTTATTATTATTACCCTTTGATCACCTGGTTGGTGGTAATAGTGGCAGGGTGCCGAATAATTTTTTATAGTACTGGACGTACTTTTGATCACCTGGTTGGTGATAATAGAGGGCCTGGCTCTTTTGGGTATATGGGCTGGCGACCCTTCGAAGATGTGACTACGGGACAGAGGTTCAGGGCCGAAGGGGTAGAGGAAGACCTAGGACAACTTTGGAAGAGACTCTAAGAAAAGACTTAGAGTACTTGGATCTAACGGAGGACATGACACAAAACCGAGCGCAATGGCGTTCTAGGATTCATATAGCCGACCCCACTTAGTGGGAAAAGGCTTTGTTGTTGTTGTTATTACCCTTTGATGGGGTTTATATAGATGTCTCCGAAAGATAAGAAAAATAAATTACATGTTTTCAGCATGTTGATGGTCATCTTTTGGTCCAACAGAAAGTGGAGACGGGAAACCTTGGTGGGCATCTTCTTATCTTTAATCATGTTATCCCGTGGGATAGTGGAGTAGTGGAATAGTAGAGCATCTTCTTTTCGGCTTTTCCTTTTCTGCTTTCTTTTGCTTTTACTTTCTCTTTTCTGCTTTTATTTCTTTTCCCACTGCCTAGTTATTGCTGGGACCTTTTGTTTTCTGCGTTACTTTTGCTTTCCCCCATCTTGAGATGATAGGCCACGAAGGCTGGTAGGAGAGACTGTCCGTAACCTAAATAATCATACTCTACCAAGTTGACTCGAAGGTGGAGACTCAGCTCACTAGACAACTCGTACATCTGACCCAGATCAGCTGTGTTCCCATGCAAGTGCAGAACAGTGAGCTTTGTTTCTAGTCTCCGGCAATGAGGAAGTCCACAAGGCAGTTCTTCATAGAGCTGCTTCAATGGTTGCTGCAGGTGATTATGGTTAGGAAAATCAGTGAACTTGTAGAAGGAGACCACCACGAGAATCTCATTACTCCTTATTCCCCGTATCCCCTGCTTTCGCTTCGTCACCAAAGCCTGAGTCTTCCTCTGCATCGCCAGCAGCACATTGTGCCACGTGTTCACTCTCGAATTCACCTTCCCGTACACCCCCACATTTACGTCCTGCAAATCCTGCGTCTCCACTGCCATAACCTCACCCGTCTCTGCGCCGTCGAGCATCCAAATCAGGCACGAGCAGAACCCCTTCGAGATCTCCGAGTCGCTGTCCGCTTGGAACCTAATCCTCCACCCCTCGTCCATCTTGTTTGTGCATCTTGCTCCTTTCTCTCCCACACATTTTCTTCTTGAGAACTCCAAAATTCCACTATCAAACTACCTCCCAAGACTTTCATCTACATCTGGGTTATACAGAACCCCTCATCCGCTCCTCTTTCTCTTATCGCCGCCGCTACTGAACAGCGACCCGTTTCCTGAGCCAGGCAAGATGTACCCATGCGGCAGAGACTGAAGCAACTCCCTGAATAATGGCGGCTGTGGATGGAGGTTCAAATGGAAAATCGGGTCATAGAGAACGGAAGAAACCGTCCCTTGTGGGGTGTCAATCGCGCTGGGGAGGTCTCCGAGGGACTCCAAAGAGCTCAAAAAATTTGAGGTTTTTGGGATGGGGTTTGTGAAGGTGATGGATGAATTTTGGAGACGAGAGGAAGGGGAGCATCTGGGTAAGCTGAAAAAGTTGAGAAGGTCAGGTGGTTGTGGGTAAGGGGTAGAAGTCGCAGTAGTAGTACTATCCGGGACTTATTGCTGCATCTGATCATGGACTCCATGAATATTGTTGTCCCAATTTGTTGGCACCAAATGGGAATTGTTGATTTCGTTGTTATGGTTAGTGGTGTTGTTGTGTGGGTTTCCATGGAGGAATGATGATTTTGCTGATGGTGATGATGATAAGAAAGCTCTTCTATGGAGAGAGTGATGTTTTCTTCGACCCCAAACCCGTTGTTGGTGGTGGTGTTATTATGGTGGTGGGTGTCTGAACAAGGCATGAGAACTTGCCGTTGTTATGGAGGCGGCGGTGGTGGTGGGGAAAGCGGGTTGAGGTCGAGCAAGCTCTCTGCCGCAGATTCAGGGATGGAGTTTGGGTCAAAGTTGCAGCCTACTGTGTTTTGATACATTTTTGGTTTTGGACAAAAACCGTCTCCTTCTTTTGCCCTTTAGGATCCGTTCACAACATCAAGAACTTGTGGAGATAGAAAGAGAATTTGTGTGATAGAGAGAGAGAGGTTGTGATTGTGTTTCCATCGCTGCCACCGTGACTGGGAGCTGGAGCGGGAGACCTGGGTCTTGCAGTGACTGTGCAGGTGTTTGGTTCTTCGGTTTCTGCAGATTCACGGCGGAGGTGAAAAAATGAAAGAGAACCGACACAACCTTTCGTATCGATTCCCACAAACGGCGCCAAATGTTGATGCACAAAACCAGAGGTCTTGGAACAACGTAAATCCAACCGTGAATCTGCAAAAAATGTAAATAACACAAAATGTATCGTGGTTCACCCCAAGGTTTGGGCTACGTCCACATTGATATTGTATTTCTGAGGGAGAGAGAGCTCTGAATATGAGAGTGAGAGCTTTGAGAGAGCTTAGAGCTTAGGGGATGTGAGGAGGCTTGAGGTTTGTGAGGGTGAGGAGACCCTTTTATAGAATAAGGGCTCCTCCCCTTTTTACATATTGCCCCTCCTTTTATTACATAATTACATTTAAGTCCCCCGAGTATTTATACGAGATCTAAATACGGAGGCCCAAAGTATGATACAAACAACATTCATGATGCGATGTGAGACGCCTTTGCTTTAGTATTTAATCTACAATGTGGTTTCTCCAAGTCAGAAAACTAGTACCAGGTTTATGAAATATAAATAAAATAAAAAAATCTCTGTTTGTTTCCAGAAAGAATGTTCTTCTGTTAGTGTTCAAACAAAGTGACTAAGCATAGGAAGTTTGACATTATCCCTATTAAAACTTGCTATATGGAAGGACAGACAAGACTACAGTAATCTCCGTTACCTCAATGTATAACATATCAGACTTATTTGGCACCTTCCTTCTATTAGGTCGAAGGTTCTTAAGACTGTAATCAACTTTGTCTTCGGCTCCATATTGAATCACTTCCATTCTCCTATTGTTAGAGTTCTTCCAGTGAAAAGGTGTCCCTCATGAATTTAGAACTACAAGTAAATATTGAGCAATTCGATCCTCCCCTACCACTGAGTCCTTAATAGATCATGCATGTACACTTGAATTATGAGGTTCACTGAGGTGGACAGAAGTAGCAAACTACTCCCGGCCCTGGGTTCCTAAAAAAATTATCAACAAATTTATTCAACCCAATTCAAGATTAACTTGACATCATCATTTTTCTTTCAACACATGGAAGTTGGAACCCCATCAAAATCTTATATTTACCTAATCAGAATTTCATTCAATATGGATCTTCAACTACATAAATAGGCATAGAATATTCAAACATTTGATCCTCTCTCCATCCGCCAACAGTCAAAAAATAACTAAGCTATCAAAGTACAAGTTCATTTTATATTTTCAATGAGCAAGGTACACCTACGCCTATACATGAAGGACTCTGAACCGAAGATACAAGATGAAACTTCAAAAGAGAGAATGTTAAGGTGATTGCCAACAAAGTTGAGAAATTTAGTGAAGGTCACAAACTTAACACTTTCTGTTGTACCAAAGTCCTCGCTGATTTTGTGCATCAACAAAGTGCAACAGTCTAATTTTTGCCACAGGAGCTACTGCAAAACGGCTCAGGATTCCCCGTGAAGATGAATTTTGGAGTAGGGGAATTAGTGCTTGTGCAATTTGCGATGGAGCATCACCATTGTTTAAGGGCCAAGTTCTTGCTGTGGTTGGAGGGGGTGATACAGCTACAGAGGAAGCTTTATACCTCAAGAAATATGCTCGTCATATTCATCTCCTTGTGCGTAGAGATCAACTAAGGGCTTCTAGAGCAATGCAAGACAGGTTAGTGTTAATTAAACTTTTCTTAACATTGATATTCTGATGTTATGGGAAATCATCTAAATTCCACTTGTATGGTTGGTCACTGCGAATTACTTAGGCATGTGTGCACACCACTAATATATTAAGGTGAGTTGTTTGTTTGTTGTGCTTACTTTCTCATCTAATTACATTTATTTTCCTCTGTGTCTTGTGTCTGATGGTTGAATATATATCGTAGTAACCATTTTAATAAAATTCTAGTTTTTTCAAATTGAAACCCGTGTTCTGCAGTCCAAGAAAAGAAAAAAAAAACAAAGAAAGATCAAACCTATTTTTATCACCCAAATTTATTATATATTTGCAAAACTCATCAATTATACTATTTGTAATCCCTTGTCATGTACCTCAATAGGACCATGAATGGAGGCAAGCCGTAACAGCAGCAGGATCCGGATGCATTGCCGCTTTATCAGTTGAGAGATATCTTGTGGGAAAAGATCTCATTATTGAGTTTCACCAGGTATATAACTTGTATTGAAGTTTAACTTTATCTTTTCTATGTTTTATCTGCTGGATGATGCTGCTGTGTTCAGAGGTATATATATGACAGTTATACTATTAGACCTGCCATTGCTTAATGTCGTCTGGTTGTAATATAAATTTCTGATTAAACATCATCATTTTCATTTAAATTATTGTATGATTAAAAAGTCCAGTTCACAATTCCAGGTCTACTTAATTTCTTCCACCATTGTTTTTAGAAATTATACATATATTACTGAAATTAATTGTGACATTATCGCCCAAAATAAAGATTGACTAAAACTGTGTTACTTTTATTTTTTCCTGCGGAGGAATTAATCCAATAACTCTTTGTTTCTAGGGAAATTCAATTGTAATAGTCTTTGATATCACTGTTCATGAAAACCATCCTTCTCATCTATTTACATTTGACAGCCCGTTACTGAAGAGGCTAAGAAGGAACCCTCAAGCATGGATGTTCAAGAAGGGTTTGACATTACTCTTACAAAGCACCGTGGCCAGGCATGTGATCTTTTGCCTATTTGCTAGCACGATCTGATGAGTTCACATATTATCTAATGGAAGAGTTTTATTTATTTATTTATGATAGAACTTTTAGTAGTTATATTCCGAGTTCGTGTTATAATAACTTTTCTTGTCTTTGCATTTCAGTATGCCCTACGAAAATTGTATCATGAAAGTCCAAGGCTTATATGTGTATTATATACAGCACCAACATGTGGCCCATGTAGGACTTTGAAGCCAATTCTTGGTACGGTAAGTTCTGTGGTTCAGTTCTTGGTGGTGTACGTTCACTTGGGAAAGAGAAGTTTGTCTGCCTTTTAACATTTTCAGTGACAGCATGTCTATCATTGATTCACCAAATATTTCACTAATCGAGGATGTGCTTTACTTTGTCTAAAGTCAGGTGATAGATGAATTCGACCATAATGTACATTTTGTTGAAATTGAGATTGAGGAAGATCCGGAAGTAGTAGAAGCAACTGGAATTATGGGTACACCATGTGTTCAGTTCTTCAAAAATAAGGAAATGATCAGGTTGGTCAAAAATTTTGTTCATGCATGCATATTGTTGTATGGTCTTCTTGTTTAGGCCATGGAGTTCTTGCTACCTACCGTTGCTTTAATTTTCTTATAGCTTGCATGCATAAACTGATTTCTTATTTCCTTTAGTGATTTTTCGGTTGTCTGAGGTATGAAGTGTTATAAATGCCTATCTTCTTTGATTTCGCTTTAATCCCGAGATTTGGAACATTTGAAATTGAGAATTTCTGTTTAGAGGAAAGGCATGACCGTGACCTGTGCTAGGTGACAGCTTGTGTTCAGTCCTTTCTCAATATTCATGTTGCCACATATAACTTGCATCTACATGGTTTCTGGTTGTTCGTGACCCTAATTGTTCGATGCTTGTTTGTAGGACTGTATCGGGGGTCAAAATGAAGAGCGAGTATTGACAATTTATTCAAGCAAATAGATGAGAAGGTTAAAGATTCTAGTTTGCCTGATGTCCTCATTTTGTGGTTCAATTTTGTTCTTCCCAAACAGGCTAGTTGAGTAAGGCCTTCATTTTACACAATATTGTAGCTTGTATTGATCAACTATATTGTAGATTACCATACATGCAGAGTTGTCAATGCATCGTTACGGAATTTTATTTTCCGATCTTGTATTTCCATCCATTGTAATCTTAGTGGGGTTTAGCATCTTTTACATTACGAAGTATGAACTGACAAGTCCCATCTTTCAATTTTTCAATGCGAAATTGCTCTTTTGGCTAATATTTCTTTTCTTATAGTTCACAATGAGAAATTAATAAACCTTCATTTAATTTGTTCACCCTTATTCTTATACAAAGAGAGTTAACAAAAAGCGAAGAAAAAAAAAGTGAAGTGATTCTCACTGTTGTCTCCTCATACTCACCTCACCTTTCTTCATTGTTTGGAATCTCAAGCTGGATAAATCGATTAAAAATCAAGAGACTAGAATAAGAGAATGAGTGAATGAGAAAACGGCAATGTGAAAATCACTAGCCAAAAGAAAAAGATGTCAATCACACTATGGAAGTGGTGATCCAAGACCCTCTTGAGAAGATAATGGATGAAGAGTTGTGTGTCTCTTGGAATAGGAGACAAATTGCTCCTGTAAAACCATTTTGTGAATGACAATAAATTATGCCGAGAATAATTGAGTGAATAGTTGACTTGGCAATCAAGTTAATGAAATCTTTAGGACTCTCGGTGCCTTAAGGAAATAAACATATTGGAGTCCTAATTACATGCAATCAATTAAGGGCCTTTATTAAGTAAATACAAGGAATAAGAGTCATGATGGGACTATAATTGATGAGATATAATTTGGGTTGATATCCTTTCCGATAATAGGGAGGAATTGATTGAAACCCTAGCTATATAACCTAGGAGCCGTCCCTGCTTCCATACTGATAGAAACTCACGAAAACTATAAGCCTATTTCCATAGTAGAGTTCATTGAGAGGTACTGGAAGTAGAAGACTTCTTCTACTTTGTTCGCAAGGATCAATGGCTTCACCTTCATAACCATGTCTTCCGAATTCTACAGATAAGTTCAATATAATTAGTCGATCTCTATTTCATATTGATTTGATTTATTCGTGATCCTATTGTCTTGTTGTTGTGATTTCAGAATATGTCTTACATGTGGTATCAGAGCCGCACAACAAGCTTAGGGTCCGATATAAAGGTATAAGCAAATTTGTTTATTGAAGATGATTCACATACTAAAGAAAATTTGCTTATCGTTTTGGTTGGATGCCTTCTACTGTTCCATCTCATGAAAATTGGTTTTGATGCTTCCGCAATTTTGTGTTGGTGTGCAATGATTTTTCATGGTTAATAATATATATAAAATTGATGTTAATTATATGAGATAAATTATTTTTTACTTATATTTTGGTAAAAATAATTTTTTAATTTGGGTTTTTGGTTATATAATTTTCATGCACTACTTTACAACCTAATATTTGAAGCTTGAATATTTCCTTATGGTTTTGGCTCTCTTGGCACTTTCCGACGAGAATAACTTCTTGTTAGGAGACAACTTGGGTAAGATTTAATTTGAATTACAATTTATATCAATTTTTCTTTTGAATAAATTACATGAATTATAATTGTTTTCGAATACAAATTTTCCTACGAATTAATATGGATTTTGGTATTAGTTTCTGGGATTTCATGCTTCTGCTTACATACTCTTATTCTTAATTAATATCAATAATCCTAATGATGTTCTATTGAAGGGAAGAATTGCATTAAACATGTTGCAATTTTCTAATTATGTTAGCAATCTCCTAATCAATTTAATTTAATGTTGACTAATTTATTTTGTTGTTGTATGTAGATTTCCTTATGGAATTGATTTTAAAATCAATTGGTAGTTATCATCTAAATTGGAGGAGATTCTAAATTTAAAATATATTCCATTAATTGTTTTATTGTGAGATTAAAAGTATTTTCATAATTATTGATATTGCCCATATAAGGAGAAATTATTTTAATACGTTTTCTTAAAAGGGAAATTAGTAGTCTCCTTGAATTTGGGTTGTGCATCTGTGAACACGAAAATTTCCTGAAACGAAAGAGACAAGAACAACGTGCACAAAATAATATTTGTATTTGATGATTTTGGGTTACAATCTCTTTCAAATTTGATCCTCTGATTCGATCTCTGTAAGGTGTTGATTTGTGGATGTGCGATTGATCCAAAAGGCCTTTGGGCTTGATCTAAGGATGAACGTTCTTCAAGGGCCGTTGAGTTTGATCTTGAAGGTGGATTTGAGCGGATCTTCAAGGAGCTGTTGGGGCTTGATCTTGAGGATGAGCGTTTCTTCAAGGGTCGTTGAGGCTTGATCTTGAATAACGGTGATGAACGGATCTTCAAGGGGCTTTTGGGCTTGATCTTGAAGAACAGTGATGAACGGATCTTCAAGGGGCTTTCGGGCTTGATCTTGAATAACGGTGATGAACGGACCTTCAAGGGCTTTTGGGCTTTGATCTTGAAGGACGGTTGGATGTGTGGATTTGTCGACATTGTTGATCCAAAGGGCCGTTGGGGCTTGATCTTAGGATGAACGGATGATGAACGATGATGAACGATGAACACTTTCTTCAAGGGCCGTCGGGGCTTGAACTTGAATTGGTGGAAGTTCTTCAAGAGCCTTTGGGGCTTGATCTTGAAGGTGGATGATTGTTGATCCAAGGGCCGTTGGGGCTTGATCTTGGAAGAACGATGAACGAAGAACGAAGAAGGCTTTCTTGATTCTTCGGGAACCTGGATGCTTGAGAGCTTCGGAGTTTCAGAGCTTCAGAACTTCAAGGTGTAATATGAATTCGTTTCCTCTAATGAATGAAATTGGCTTCTATTTATAGAATTTTCCAAGGCCTAATTTGAATATAATATTCCAGATGAAATAAGTCATTTCTGCCAGGTGTTGACACGTGTCCTGTTTGATGACTTTTCCAACTTATTTCGATTTTTTGTTTAGACACACGCTACGTGTAAAATTTATGTAATACATGAGCGTTGAAACTTTGATTTATCGGTCAACATTTATTTACCGAAATTTTGATGTCTACAAATGCCCCCACTTCAAGGCGCGTTGTATACATGTGCTTGTCACGTGTAGGAGATGCGTTTTTGAAGTCCCTTACTGTAGGTGTCGATCCAAGGGCCATCGAGGCTTGATCTTGAATTGGGCTAGAGATTTCTTTAGGGGCCGTTGAGGCTTGATCTTGAATTGGGCTTGAGATTTCTTAAAGGGCTGTCGAGGCTTGATCTTGAAGGTTGAAATTGGACCACAAGGAGCTTCATGTGGTAGATGATCCTTGGCTTTTGGTAGTGGATGAATTGGCACGTATTTGTTTTTGCGCTTGTTGACTTTCCACAGCTTATTCTTGAACTGGATTTGATTCAAGGGTGGTGGATACTTGATCTTGAATCGGACTTGTGATTTCTTCCAAGGCCGTCGAGGCTTGATTTTGAATTTGGCTAGAAGCTTCTTCAAGGGCTGTTGAGGCTTGATTCTTGAAGGTTGACTCGAACACATGGCAAGTAGGCACGAGGGGAAGGTGATGACTTGTTGCTTTGTTCAATCTTTCTAATTCACACCTGAGCAGTTTGGTCAACGGTATGATTTTCATGATTGATGGGCTCTTCTTCCAGTTGGTGACTTGATCTTTAAGGATTTGATTCAAGGTTGGTGAATCGGCACGTGCAGCCCACAACGCCTAGTGAGTCAACCCAAGAATTTGAGGGTCAAAACGAGTCCTCCACCCATAATGATTGCAACCCTAATGATATGAGATACTTTTGATTTTAAAGAAGTAGCGGATGAATCGGCACGTGCTTTGTTATGCTTGTCTCCACATGCTTCAATGTATCATTTTCCCTTGCCTTATCTATTCTTCTGGCAGAATGTGGCATCTTCTCGAGTTCCTCAGTTCAGACTCCTTCTGCTGAGTTGACTATGCAGGCTGCATTCTTCTCTGCTTATTTCTTCAGGCAGATGTGGCAGCTTTTTGAGTTCCTCAACTTGGACTCCTTCTGCTGAATTGACTGTGCAGGTTCTTCTCTGTTTGTTCCTTCTGCACGTTGTCTCCACATGCTGCAAGGTATTATTTTCACTTGCCTTATTTGTTCTCCAGGCAGATGTGGCAGCTTCTTTGAAAGCATAAGATGTTGAGATAATGGGTACTTCGAGAGCAGTGCTAGGTAGGCAATCAAGGAAGGGTTCCAAGCAGTCGGTTCCTTACCCGAGTTTGAGTGGAGGTTCCGGCATATTGCTTTCTTTATCCTTGTCTTTACAGGTAAGAACAAGGACAAAGGAAATGACAGGGAGAACGCATGATATGAGATATTCTTGCTTTCTACCCTGGTGATATGAGATACTTTTGCTTTGATGTCATTTGTTTGCAGAGGTACCCCAAGGAATAAGGAACACTGAGTGACTCGAGAGGCTTCGTTGGGAAGGTATTCTCGGAGATGAAGAAATGTTCTGTATGTCTGCCTTGCTATGGAGGGTGAAGGTGGACAGTTATAGGAAGTTCTTTAATACCTGTAGAGGTACTATTCTTTCACTCGTGTCGGCAACCATTGTGTGATTGATCAGTATGGCTTCACGTGCTTTGTTCTTTATCAGAAATCTTTGACAAATTGTCCGTAATTTCCGCCAAGCTGAGTGTGCATGTGACAGGTGTTGACGAAGCTGAAAAAGACTGGCGCCTATTCGATATCTGGGATCGGCGCTTCGACAAATTGCCCGTGATTTCCGCAAAGCTGAGTTTGCGTGTGACGAATGCTGACACGTTTGGAAAAGCAAGATGCCTCTCCGATTTCTGAGCTTGCCTCTTCGATTTTTGAATTGGCCTCTTTGAATTCTGAGCTCGCCTTTTCGATCTCTGAAATCTCGTCGAGTGCTGATTTTTTATAGAGGCATGCAGTTCGTTTCAAAGAACACTTGAATTTTCGCTTGTAGAAACTCCCTTCTTGCACTTCTAAGATCTTGATTCGTCCGACCTCCTCCTTTTTTAACACCTTTGAAAATGTCTGGACCCTCCGACCGTCATTTTAACTTGAACCTTGGTGAAGAGGCAATCCCGCCTTCTCCAGACAACATATG